ACCATGGGGTCAAGAAGAACAAGGTTCTTCACCTCACGGTGTTCTGAACAAAATCTACTGACATCCGACAGCAGTCGTCCAGCACTCGCTCGCCAAGGTGGGATTCTGATTCCATGCATGGACATCTCGATATTCTGTTGTGGCGCAAATCGAAGTGGCCACCGTGTCTGCCGAAACATCCAATGCCACCGCGGAAGCAACTTAGCGTTCATTAATATTGCGGCTTCATCAAAATCATAAGAACACCTCTAGGAGTTTTCGGGAAGTCGATATTCAGATAGCGTGCGATGATTAGTTGTCGACGGAGTCGTTGAGGAAGCACCATTAACAGGTATATTTTGCATCTCAGCTTCGACCACTGCCAGCCTATGCACTTTTCTACGTTCAATTTCTTCTTCTTCATCTTCGTATTCAGCATCAAAAGTCAATTCACTTGATTCGACAATTTGAGGTGAATATTCCAGTTCTGCGTCGAAAATGCTGTTGCCTCCCATTGCAAGGCTTGCACTAAATAGCTCAGCCAGATTTTCACCATCGTCGTCATCAAGAGAAAAATCACTCCCACGAGGATAGATTCCTTTTTCACAAAACAACCCACCAAAGAGGTCTAGAGTACCTCGTCCATCCAGCATGGACCACGGACAAAAGTCCGCAGTCAACGAAGGCCTCTGTGGTTCCGACAACGTGAACAGATTGGTCAGATCGAAGACAGATTCCGTGGCCCAGGACGAGGGGTAAGAATTGTGGTAAAAGTGGTACCAGGGACAAAGAGAGGAGGTTTGTCTGGATTCGGGGTGGACCTGCATGGCGGGCAAGACGTCGCCAGCGAACAGCGTGCTGTAGAGATCACCGAGTTCACCTCGATATTCAGGATTACCAAGGAACTCGCTGTAGTAGAATACCGAAGGAGGTGAATTTTTTTTGTTCACACTTGGGTGGCCGATGAGAATACGCTGGGCCTTAAAATAGTTGCAATAGTAATCCTGCACGTAGTATGAACACGACGACGTGTAACTCACAGAATCCAGAGAGAATCGTATTTTGGCGAAAGAAGGAACAGTGTCAGAGGAAACATCCGAGAAACGGCGATGGGTCTTCTCATCTGCCTCAACCTGTAGACAATAATTTGAAGTATAGCACAGGTAAAAGCTAGAATAGCGACCCAAATAAATTTATAGTTTTAAAGCGGATACGACAAACCCAACTTGAGCTGAACTCGGATTACGCTAGTGCCAATCAGTGGCACCAAGCATTTTGTCAGTAGGTAGCAAATTAATGCCTTATTTTGCACTAGTAATTAACGTCAAACCAAGATGTCATTATGGCCATTGACTTGCATCATGTGCGTAGGTGGCAACGCCAGGTAGAGACTCAATGCGTTTGTCTGGCTCCTGCTGGACCTCCACGTGCACCGCATATCCGACGTCGCTCGAATCGTCTTCAAGTTCTTCGTCATCAAGCGGGAGGCATCCATTGGCCTCTGCCCACTCACACCAGGCTTGGTTAGGCGGAAACCGCCGCCCATTTACACGCAAACCTGCCAGCAGCCGCAATGTCATTTTCGTGTAAAGCTTCTCATTCGTTGCAAATTCGTCATCTGCAGACTCAAAATTCGGATGCTCAATTAAGTAGATGAGGGCCTTGACCACATCCAATAAGCTGTAACAGCTAAAATTTAAATGCACTGAAACAACAACACATTGCCTTTTGGACGCGTCAATCAGCATTACACAATTAATTCCAAAAGTCAATTCGTACAAACTTATTCAAATTGGCAACCAGTGAAAATAGAGAAGTGTAAAGACCTTGAGTAAATTGCAACTACATTGGTGTTACAATAAAACAGTCGTTAAGCTCTAATCAAAAATAATGGACATTCGCAAACCGAAGTCCTCAAGTATAGGTTGAATTCTAGGTAATGCAGAACTGAAGACTTCTGTGCATTTTTTAACAGCCTGAGAGCAGTTACTTGCACGCATGACTTTAAAATATATGCGCTCAATAATCCAAACATTAACGTGACGAAAAGGACAGACCAGCTGTCTCAATATTTCATGCGCACATGAATTAATACATACCTATGCCATTCATTGAGAAGACTTAAGCAAACGCTACCATTGCCATTGTAGATATTGGGATGAAAGACCGGTGTATTAAAACGGACTTCAGGACCGGCTTTGGGATAGGCTGAAGAGCAATCAATCTGTAAGGCATCAAAAAATCCAAATAAACAAAGTGCCGTCTAGGTTATTTTTGTCGGTTATGCAATATACAAATGTTTACGGGGTTCAACAATTTCTGACGTTGTTTTCAAAAAACTACATTCTTTAGCGACTTGCGTAAGAGCTGTTTCAATTATCACTTAAACCTTGCAGCTACAAACACCAAATCTCCACGAATCGAACATGCACAGAAGGGCAAACCCACTGTAATCTGCTGAAAATATTTCGCAAGTGCACTCCAGTTATGAAAAAAAGACTAGTAAAAAGAAACCATGTACATCTCATCAACGACCACTTAAACTTATGTAGACTTCAGAAATCGTTAATTTTATCCATGTTTCCATGGTATATAAACGTGTTGTGAATTTCGCAGTCATGAATGACTGTCTACATTCCATGTACTCGCAATTTTAGAGGCCGTCTGCATTGTATCAAAACACTCGCAGCTTCCATAAACTGATCAAGGAGCTTAGTTGTCATTTGTACACCATATACTTAGTTATGATATCCGTCAAAAATACTCACATTGACAATAAACGCAGCGTGGGCATTGCGACCAAATTTGGGATTCAACGACACAATCACTGACAATTCATTCACGCACACTATGGAGGCTTGACCGTCTGTTGAGGTGTCAATCGTGCGATAAAGCTGTTGAACATCTTTAAAAAATGAGCGCCGACCTGTTGAATGAGACATCTACGAAAAGCAACAGAAGATGGGCCAATAAATTGCTTGGATAGGCACAGGAAACTAGTCACGGATTCTCTGAATGGTTGAAACACTACATTCAGCTTATGTTCTAACCTATGCTACAAAAAGACAAAGTTGTTAAAAGGTCGATGAGTTCCTATGTAAAAAAATGCCTTCAAAAGAGAATGCGATTAGAATTTATTGGTGGTAAGTAAAATATTGAGGATTCAAAGGTTATAATAAAGTCGAACAATGTATCACATAATCAAAAACGTCTTGGATGCAAATTATGCATTTTGAATAACCTGTTCATGTTTGAGAAGATGATAACATTTTGTCAAGTAAACTTAAAGATTTGGAACGCCAAATACTCAATTAGGCAACGTTCTTGAAAAGGTGCATTGGTCATGGATAATCTAAATGAACAATAAACATCAGCATAGGATCAAATTATCTTACGGCCTGTTGTCTCCACCTTATTCAAGTAAATAACAAGACAAACGAAGCTACCTCAGCCACACTTTGTCACCGCTTATGAATTCCGCGGAGTGTGGTCAAGGTTAACTAGAAGCGATCAAACCTCAGCGACAAGTCGCAATGTATGAAAAGGGGGCTTTACAAAAAACATATTTAAGATTATGAATTGGCAGTTTACATCCACCGTACATCTAACGTACTTTTACAAAAAAACGCAGCATTATTATTTTCAGATCTGTCAAATTTGCATTGTTGTGAGAATGTCGGAAAACGACATTTATTTTGTTCAAAGAAGCCTTTTTTTGATTTCGATACGTTGCTCCTGCTAACAAATTAGACTGCTTGTGTAGTAAATCAAAAGTTTTACATTTCATTTAAAGTGATGAGTACTTACTTCTAGGATAGGCTGAAAGAGTCACAACCTTTAATAGGCTCTGACTTTTGTGCTTAAAAGCCAATTGTTTTGACAAATGCTACATAAGAATTCTTTGGATGGTCTCTCATTCTATGTATCTGATGCCCATTTCCCATCCAATGTCTTGTTAGGGCACTTAAATTGTTCCATCTTATATGACTACCTGAGTTGTTTACACAACTGGCGCATTCTATAGAAAGAAAAAGTAGCTAACATACAGGTAAGTTAGGCTAAAGCAAAAGGCGAAGGTATTACTTTACACCCTTTTAGTATCAATTACTACGTCTAGAATGAGTTACGTTTAAAAGACTTTCATCACAGCAAAGATAGGAATCGTTAAAATGTATAATATGATACTCTGACAGATAAATAGGCTCTAGGCAAAGGTCTGAAATTTTTACGTACTTCACAACAATCGACGAGACTTTTTAATCCATATTTCATCATTTAGATGTGGGCAGCTCTATTTGCTTATAAAACAAATGTTAGCATTCCTCTCAACTTTTCAAAAGGCCACAAATTACCATTCGAACAATTATTTTGTAAGTAGAGAACAAGCATATTAACGCAAGCAGTTATAATTTCTATCTAGTCTTAAAATGCTTTTATTACATTTGCTGGCCTAAACAACGTAACATTTGCTAGAAAATTTCGATTATCAGACATTTCTCTATGTGTCTTATTATGAAAATGAACTATGTTTTGCCGCTCAATCTGGGAATCAAAAAAGTTGTGGTTATATGTGAGACCGTTTTAATTGAGCAAACCTATGATACTTGTCACATATTTCACATATTTAAGCAACAGTTTTTGACATTTAGCACAATGGCCGAGTACAATAGACGAGGTTATTCTCCTAAGTTCATCAAATTTCCCAAGACAACTCATTTCTAAAAATAAATTTTCGCTGCTGGATAGAAATTCCTGCTTCAGTTTTTGTTTGCCTAGTTCGACTGTTAAAAAATTTGACTACTAAAGATAATTTTTCCAGATATCCATTTTGATAGCATAGCCTACATCAACATCAATTTCCAGTTGCACAGGATGTCCTCTAAATTCTGTCAAGGTTCATGAAATGTTAGCTGTGTCTTTCAGTAGAATTCATGCAAATTGGACCTGAGAATTTATTTGTACCACTAGAGTGGCTTCGCAGGGCAGTCCCGTGTTTGCTGTTTTCTCCGTTCATTTTGGACAAGGACGCGTCAGACAAGGCGACAGGGGTGACACTGTCGCGAGTTCAACCCGATGGCTCAGAACATCCTTTAGCATTCGGCAGCAGAGCCCTGCCGATGGCGGAGCGCAATTACTGCACTACTAAACGCAAAGTGATGGCCCTGGAGTTTATCTCAGTGTACTATTTGCACCATCTCCTAAGTAACGAGGTTATTGTACGTACGAACCATCACGCTCCAACGCGGTTGACTAACATTAAAGAACCTTCAGACATCGTTGCGAGGTGGCAGGAGGTACTGAGTCAGTTTAACCATAGTGTTAAGCACAGCCCTGGGAAAAAGGAAGGGAATGCTGATGCATTGGCTGGGATTCCAGAAATTAAAACAGACGTAGCTGGCATTTCCATGAAGCAAACTACGGTTGAGAATTTGGGGCAACTCAATCGGAAAACCCGTACATAAGTCCTTCATATAATAGGCAGTGAACTGGCTCTCCCAAGATTACAGACAAAGAGTTGGTAGAAGGTAGCCAATAAATGCGTGTGCTTTGGTCTGCTTGGAATAATCTTAGTTTTAGGGATGGTGCTTTCTACTGTTAACTTGGACCATCGTGCCTTTACTGGGTGATAATAGCAGGGTTTGCTGTGGAGCAAATTGTGATCGAGCTACATGCTAGTTTGATGATAATGGTGGCCAGCCATGCGCGAAGACATAAATGGTATTTGCGCGAATCGCCACGACTGTGGTGAGGTCAAGTCTCCAACTCATGTGGCCAGAGCACAAATTCGAACCATGACAGCCAGGTTCCCAAATGAACTTGTTGGCTTAGAACTCATTTGATCCCTCCCACAGACGACTAGTGGCAACCGGCGCATTTTTGTTACGGTTGACTACTTTAAGAGGTGGTCAATCACCGTACCTCCTGGCAAGACAGACACTGTGTCTGCAGCAAAAGAATTCATGGCTAGATCGGGTTGTTAATCATAGGTGTCCTACAAATTCATAAAGATAGGGGTAGACAATTTGAAAGATCGTTGCTTTTGGAGTTATGCGGTTTGTGCTTGCATTCACAGAAGCCGTAATACAGAATATCACCCCCAAAGGAGATGAGCGAGATGAACGAACAAACAGGACGCTTAAGATGCTTTTGAGACTGCACCTCGATGTGTATGTGGTAAATCAGTTGGACGATACATTGCCAGCATATCAACTAGCACATAGGTTTGCTGTGCACTCCTTCACTGGTCTAACCCTAACTATAATGATTTTTGGACATGAGTTGCGGCTGCCGGCTGATGTTTCAGCAACCCCACCTTGAGAGTCTGATTACGCAGGACCTTCCTAATGCGCTGTTGACGTGCAATGCCAACTGCGTCAGTCTTTTGACTCAGGCCTAACTCTCAGGAGGGAAGCAGTCCTCAGCTTCTGGCTTGGTTTCACTTACTGCTGATGATTGATAAAATATACAGTTTGTCACTCCCTGAATCTCCACATCTGGCAGGATAGCGGCCCAAGCGATTATTAGACAAGGGATTTGCTCTTGTTGACTTGCAGGAAGGCAGCTTCATCCATCGCAGGTTCCTTCTCCATTTGCAGTCAAAATGGCTTCTACTCTGTTTGTCGTCGTCGCTAAGTTGTTAATGCCTTCCCAGATTCAGTAGTCCTAAGCCCGGGCAATGTCTGTGAAACCAGTGTCTGGAACATCGGATGAACCACCATGACAACTGCAGTGGGCATTTAAGGGTCCTTGCTTCTATTGTCCATTGTAGGGAAAGGGCTGTGGCTCGAATTGCTTAATCCAAACGCATCCGCTGCAGTGTTTTAATGATATGATGACATTAATACCATGCAGACCACCTCTTACATTACTAGTACGTGGAATTTAGACAGCCAATAACTTCACTGTTTGACCCATAGTGCATCTTAATAATATAGTAAATTCAATAAACTGGCAACACTTTTAATTTGGAGTAGTTAAAATAGCCGTTTGTGATGTCTATATACATATTTTGCACTATTTTTGCTTTTTAGCATAAGTCCGTCTGCGAAACACTTTCAGCAGGTCACAGTTTGTATACTGGGCCTGCCCAGCTGTGTACTTTCTATTCGGCGTGATTTTCCTCGGGTGGCTGCTGCAGGGTCTAAAAATACTCTGAAAAGCTCTTGGACGCGCTGCTAAAGATTAACTGTTAATTTAAGGTCGAATGAAGATTAATGAAAAACAAAGTCACAAATTGTCGAATCATGAAGAGCGTCCGTATGATTCATTAGAGACAGAGTGACATTAAATTCTTTTCGTTGATTTTGATTCCTTGATGCCTTACAGGTTGATTACCCTTTGGCCAGTCTTTCATCCCAATATCCACATTACTGATGGCATCGTTTGTTAAAGTCTTATAAATGAATTGCATAGGTACGGATTAATTGAATCATAGATGACGAGTCGGCTTTCAAATCTGATGAACTATGGACACCGCAGATTTGTAGTACTTGCCATAGTCTGCTACTACGCCTGAGTGAAATGACGAGTACTGTCAATTTTTTACTGAGAGTACAATGCACAAGAAGAGATTCGAAGTTGAGAGAGCTTACAGAGATTAGTCTCATTTTACTACCTCCTCCTTGCTTTTCAAACTGATAAGAACTTTGGAATTCCTCTGACCGTTATAATCGCACTGAACCTAATGATGAACATTGTTTGATTTAAAAGCCATGCGCATTTATATATACTAAAATAAGGTCAGACAAATGACATATTTACAGGTCGGTTCAATAAACTGTTGAAGCTCCACCAACAACTGTCTCGCCCTTCTTGTGAGGGACAATTTTCCTCGTTTGAAGACACATAATCGAAGGTCTTTCAGAGACTCGCAGATACTCACACATTAACTAGGTACCATTGTCGACTGCTTATTGACAGCAAATATGATTACTTTACAGTT